GAGCATTCAGTCATTTTTCTGGCTCAGTTCGAAGAAATTGAGCCACGTTTTGGTCAAAATGTTCAAAAGTACGTTTTGACAGTTTTCAGGAAGATACGATCTTTGTTGGTGTCAACCATACTGTACGTCAGCCTCAAAGACACTTCATCTATGTTGTACAATGTTGCCGAGAGGTTGATGACTGCTAGGAGATTGTACGGCATGTGTTGTGTGCCCGGCCACTGGTACAAGTAGATAGTTTGGACGCTCATCATGGTGCTTCGTATCTATGCATATGTGTACTTGTTCTTGTGGGTCAATTTTGCCTTGGGATTTTCGGGTTCCAAGCTCCTCCTAAAACAACGAGGCCACAATGCTCCTTCCAGAATAAAATGTCGTCGATTCATGGCATCCGACAATATGGAGCGCTATGACGACCAGGACCAACCCCGACTTCGAGTCGTTGTGGTCGGTGGTGGAGTAGGAGGCCTGGCAGTGGCTGCTCGCATTGCTGCGACTCGTCCATTCTGTGATGTCACAATTTACGAGAAGAACGAAGAAATCGGCGGACGAAGTGGATCCTTTGATGTAAATATTCCCAACGTGGGGACCTTTCGGCACGAACGAGGTCCGTCTCTCCTCCTACTGCCGCATGTCTATCAGGAAGTGTTTCAAGATTGCCTTGCTTCTGCTTCGACATCATCATCATCATCATCATCATCAGGAGAGCAACTGGCACAAGAGTTTGGTCTCGTCATGCGACAGTGCACACCGTCCTATCAAGTGGTGTTCGATGAGGAGGACAACAGCAGCAGCAACAACAGACTCGATGTGGGCTTTTCCAAGCAACTCTGCCAAAAAGACGAGAGAATAGCAAAGCTCTACCAGGAATCTAGACAAAAGATGGACCAATTGGAGCCCAATGGTGCAGAGAAATGGGATGAATACATGAGAGCCACCGCGGCATTTTTGGATTGTGGATTGCCCAACTTTATTGAGGAACGATTGGATTTGGGGTCGTTTCCTGCATTTATCTATGAGGCTTTGCGTGACTTTGGAAAGGTGAGACTGCTGCTATCTATCACCGAGAAAAAAGACATGTATATCATCACCTGCTTTACAAGTTTCTCAATTATTCCTGCTGCTGATCTCAATTTGTGCAACTGACACAAGGCGTGGCCGTTAAAGCCCCATTCCGACGTGCTAGATGCCATTTTCGACTCGGAAAAGATGCGGGCGTTAGCATCCTTCCAGGATCTGTACGTCGGCCTTGAACCCTATCGAAACAATCAGCAGCTTGGCGCCGGAGTGTTGACCACGACTGCACCGGCCGTCTTTGGATTGCTTGCTGCCATTGAATTGCATCCTGACAATGACAAAGCAGGTGGTAAGTGCAGACGGTATTGCATACCCTGTCGATCCATGATTGTCCTTTACCTTACATGGTTTTTGTTATTGCGCGATGTGGCTTAAGTATTTGCCCCCATTGGCGGATTCAAGTCTGTCTCGGAGTCACTTGCAAACTTGGCCAGAGCAATGGGTGTAACTATTGAAACTGGCAGAATGGTCACTCGAATCGATTCATCTGGTGTAGTACATGTACGCCGCAACGATACAGACACAGCAACTACAGGGTCAACAAATACAGACAGTTTTGTCTCGGCAGATCTTGTCATTGTCAATGCAGACCTCCCATATGCATCAAAGAGCCTACTGCTAGAACAATCTGCAAAAGAGGACGAACAAGACCCGTCAGCGGAACCTCGCTTTGATTGGGACGATTCCTTTTTGTTCAGCAGCGGCGTGGTTGCGTTCCACTGGTCCATCGACAAGGAATTGCACGATTTGAACACGCACAATGTCTTTCTGGCAGCTGCAAAAGGACGCGAAAGGGCGGAAGAGAGTTGGCGCATCCTAAGAGGCAAAGAGGGTGGCTCAAAGGTGGAACCATTCAACTTTTACGTGCACTGTCCCACCAAGACAGACCCATCAGCCGCGCCTGAGGGCTGCGATTCAATCATGGTGTTGGTGCCATGCCCAACTCTGGAACGGAAACCCGAATTTGCCACACTATCAAGAGACGAAGCTATTGAGGAATACAAGAAGCAATTTGACAAAGGCTGCATTTCTGCATTGCGAGAGGCTGTCTTGAAACGATTTGCTGCTATTGATTCCTTGGCGGACTTGGAAGACCACATCTTAGACGAAGTTGTCGATACACCTTCCACGTATGCAGATCAGTATCATGTAGGGGCTGGGACACCTTTTGCTCTGAGTCATGGCTTTGGGCAGCTGAGCCTCACCCGTCCGGGGGCAAAATTTGGATTGAAACAGGATTCCAACATTCTGTATTGTGGAGCCAGTAGCCGGCCGGGAAACGGCGTGCCCTTGGTTCTCCTTGGCAGCAAATTAGTAGCCGACAAGGCACAATCACTATTGGATGATATGCTATGCCAAAGGTGACAACTGTTGCATTCTTTGGGTCTTGCTTGTCATCAATATACCAGCCATGGTGCATCCATCATCAATACTGTACCGCTACTAGCTAGCTAGTACTTGTAGATTGCTATTAGACTCTGACTCATTTTCCAATGCAGGAGCGATTTAAAGGATGGTTCACAGTTCACAGCCAATGGACGATTTAAAGTCCATTTTACTTTTACTAGCTAGTAAGGACAATTCACACTTTCACAGAGATTATTAATAATTTTATTGGTCTTAAGGATGTTTAATGACAACTAAGTCACGAATGTGATTCCTCTAGTCTCATAACCCGATTCACCGTGTTGTTTTCGGTGCTATCGTCAGAACTGAACAATGATGTTCTTGCCGTAACTGGACTGGATAGAGGAATGCTATTGGGCCAACTAATAGTCATATGATTGGTTCCCATCCATCTGTTGGTAGTATGCTAGAGATGCCCGCTGGCGGCAACAGCTGGATGGGTCTGTGAGTTGACATCGGCTTGTTGCACTGGCCCCACATCGGATTTCGTCACCACCCAACCAAGCCAACCATCGCTCCATGCACAAGCCAATCCATCTGTTATCCTGCACACCGCTGGATAGAGCGTACCCGATAGTCTAAGAGCACATACCCGCTTGATCATCGGACATGAACTGTGTATCTTCTTAGGGGACAAAGTCGGCTTGGGTTGGTGAAACTTTTTCATCCTGTTATCGGTGCATTGGCCATGTTTTCCGTTCGCCGATGCTCCTCCAATTTGGATCTCCAGACAACTCTCAACGGAATTCTGGTTTTTCCGCCAATGAATATTTTCTGGCGGGAACTTGGTTGGGTGGGTGTACACGACAATTCACAAAACAAGTTTCTTCCGAGAACAACAGTTTTGGAAATCATGCCGAAGGTCAACAGCAAAGATGATGTTGTCACGCTCCGCCATTTGGGAGGGGCCTCTGTGGACTTTCTAGTGGATTGCCTCACAGGAATTACTGATCACCCAATGCTCCGCACGCACAATGAGAAAGCACAGAAATTTGTTGTGGATTCAGAGGTCGTGTTGCAGGCCACGGTTTTGGATTGTGTTTTCGAGAAACGTACGTTCAACAAGGCAACTGGTCCAATCTCCATTGCCAAGTTTGTGCTGGCCGATGGAAGTTCTGCCGTTTGGAAAGCGGTGACAAGTAGCAATTTGTCCGAACTTGTGGAGATTGAAATGGCCAAAACAGCCAATTCGTCCGGGATGTCTTCTATCAAAGTTGGTAGTACTCTCACCGTTGACAGTTATAACTGGATTCACCTTGCAAGTGATGAGCCCCATGTCTTTCGCGTGTCATGGTGGTCAACAAGTGTTCTTTTGTAGACCCACCGGATACTGTAGAAGAAAGTGACGACGAAAGCTACAATTCACCACCCTTGAAAAGGGGAAGTCTACGCTTCTTCGAAGAAGAGGAGGCTCTCTACCTTTCTACTGAGGAAGGCTACTTCTCCAGTTACGTCCCGGATGTCATTGAAGATGCAAAGCAGAAAGGGGATCTGATCTTCACCGTTCCTTGTTGTCTTTTTGACCCAAAGACAAACAAGGGATTGGTGTTCCAAGAGAAGGCGACAGTTGCACAGTTGAAGTTGACTCACCCTTGTCATGTCACATGGAACAAAGCTGACTTCAAAAAACTGTACCAAGACATCCCAGAAGACTTCGACGAGGACGCCACAGTCCCAATGCCGTGCGAATGCGAGACTCGATTTGGCTTATCCACTTGTGCCATTGCTTCGTTTCCTTTGTGCTTTCTTGACTTTGACTGAGTCTTCTACAGTCTCAAGGGGAGGTTTCTGAAGATGCACTGGAAGCTGAGGAATTCTTCGACTTGTCTCCTCCCAAAAAGCGCTGGTGTGCTTACACGTACTACTCACTCAATGTGTTCCATCTTAGGAAGCGTACACGTCTTCCTGACTGTGTTGTCTATGCGATAAGTTGAAGTTCAGGGATGCGAAGGATGCTGAATCAATTGGAACTAAGAGGAAGGAACCTCCAAAGGAGTACACTACAGAGGAGGTGGCCTCGAAGAAGGTGAACATGGAATTGGAGGAAAAGAAAGAACGCGATGAGTCGAAAATGGTCGTTGACCTAGAAGAAGAGGAATGTGCTGTGAAAGAAGCTTTCGAAAAGGAAAGTAGACTCAGTGCATTCCATGCGTACACCGAAGAAGTCAAATCGATTTCGTCCAAGTCCGGTGACTATTGGGATAATGCCATCCGCATTACTCTTGAGTGGAAGAATCGCTCCAAGCGCCTTGATGACTCCCCCGGTTACAGCGTCTAATCAAAAGAATAATAGTGAATTGTTTTAAGTGTTATGGTATCTCTACGTATCTTCCTCGATGTCTAATAGATCATCAAGTAACTGGCCCAGCATTGGAGAGTCTTCACCTGTTCTTTCTTCCACGAAATCCAATCCATCGAGTGCATCCACCTGTGCTGACTCGCGTTGGGAATGGGTCATGGATGCGAACTCATCCACCGTTGGTAGACCGGTCACTGCTTTGCTCTTCTTATTGTTGGAACAAAGGGAGCTATTGCTTCGCTTGTGACCCCATTCGCCACAAGAGCGACACCAGTTTCCTTCTTTCTCGCCCTCCGGACGTGGCAGATTGGGTTCTTTCTTGCACATTTGGCCTTTGTTTTTTGCCTTTTGGCTGGATGTTCTTCCATTGCAATACCTGACTGGTACACTTTGTCCCGCTCCTCTCTCATGGTAGAGTGGTATTCCATAATCTTAGCATAGGTTCGCTGGTTCCTTTTCAACTTGTGTGCCACAGTCCTTTCACGGATTGCTTTTTTGCTTTTGATTGCTTGCTGCTTTTGTAGGAAGTGGGCTGTAGAATTGTCAACGTCCAATCCAAGTTTGCTGTAAAGTGTCTTGAAGAATTCTTCAAAGCCAAGGATGTGTACTCCTATTGCCATCATGACTCTTCCTTTCAGCGAGAGAGATCCGGCATAAGTCTTGTTCTTTGGGGCATACCAAGAAATGAGGTTGTTCAGAGATTCGTTGACGTTTGTGTCGCCAGTGTGCACCACCTCTTCAAAACGGCTCATGGTGATGAACCGCGAGATAATATCAAACAGGGCGCTGAAAAGAGGTTCCACCTTTTCCTTGTTTCGATAAAACTTGCCAGATTGTTGTTTCTCCTCGGCGGTAGCCTCTTTCCTCTTGCAAAAGTCGCCACAGTTTGTGTGGATGTCAAACAGATGATTCAGGATGGCGGAAGCTCTTGCTTCCCATTCTTCCTTTGGGATGTCTTGTAGTTGATGAATAAGACAGATGAATGACATCGTCAACCGGATAATGTCACCCTCTGTGAATCCAAATCTTTTCTTTACAGGTTTTCCCTTGAATCGGTAGAGATGATTGCGCAAAGTCTTCTTTCGATGAGCTGGATCGCCAACGAACTTCGGCTCTGGCACTCGAAGAGAGAGGTTGCCTTCTTTTCTTTTGACGGTAGTCTACTTGTCTTTCAGCTCACCGGTTTTCTTATCTTTCACCTCGTCGAGCTTGTAGTGGTCGACTGGTGTCACAGGTAGATCCTTGTTGGCCCATCGAGTGTTTGCTTTCATCGTAGAGTCATCATCCGTAACTATCTTGGCCACCCCAACTTTGTAGTTGTCGAACAAGTCCGTGACCATTTCAAGCAAGGCCGAAGCCTCCATGGAACCAGAAGTTCCAACATGGTTGGAACAGCAATCGTGCTCAGGGATTTCCTTTTCGGAATTGGCATACTTTCGACATAGCGAACAGTACTTGCTTTTGAGACACCAAGCGATAGGTTTCCTGGTATTCCATCCAACAAGGAATGCATGACCACTAAGCGAATCATACCTTCTGCCGCTGGATCTTTTCTGCCAACCCATATCCATCATTCCAGCGACGTAGGCCATTCCTCTGGCGATGTGGTGTTTCTTTGGTGGTGTGTGGGAGACATCATCTTTCCACGAGTTGAAGTTGAATTCACCATGCTGTTCAGCATCTTGCATAGACAATTGAGCCTCACGAAAAAGGTTGTCTCGAATAGCCTCCTCAGTGACACTGCAGATGGTGGGGAGAATATCTTTCTCTATCTCTTTGAATGACCAGTGTGCCATCGTCGTACAGTTGGGCATTCCCATAAGTCCAAGGAGTTTTTGCGCTTCCGTTCCACCATCCCCACAAGCCACAAAAGCAAGAACAAACTTGACATTGGTCTGCATTTGGCTTAGATTCTTTGCCTTGGTCTTTCCGGTCATGTTGGTTGTTGAGTATTCAGCCATCTTTGGACGGACACTTTTGCATGCCTCCGAGTTGCACTTGATCATGGGAATTGCCGTCACACAGACTGTTTTGAATGACAAATCCATTGTTCCGGTTTCACCACATTGGACACACTTTGTACTCTCTTTGATCAGGCTTTGTAGATGATTTGTTTCCACAAACTGTCTTGTGGCCGGTGGCACTTTAGTAGCTTTAGGGGCGGGTTGCTTTTCCACGGCAGGCATCTGGGCCATACTCGAAACCCTCATTTTGAGGTTTTCGGTGGTGGTCAGTTTCTGCTTCCGAAACGCTGCTCCCTTGTCCATCTCGTCAACCTTCCAAGCAATGCTTACATTGCCAGTTCTCTTCTTGTCATATCGATTGCCGCCGACCTGAAGTTTGCTCTGCTCCATGACCAATTTGGCCCTCTTCTTTTCACAGAGGCCGTTTGGTGCCTCCACCGTAGTCAACTGAGTGTAACCTCCAAAGGCACGTGTATTCATCCTCCGAGGATGCAATTCTGGGAGAATTTCATCCCCGTCATCGTCATCCATTCTGAGGGTGGTTTCCGGAGGTTACAGCTATCAGCAGGTTTTTCGTTCGATGCTTCCTTGATGCAATAGAGTGCATATAGCTACAATAAAAGAGTGTGTGCGTGTCAATCCTGTTGATGATGTTCGATAGATTCAACAGAGGCCACGTTTTTAGTGATGACTTGATGCTCGACATTCTCGCAGCATCTGGTTGGGTAGGAGCCCTGCGGTGGTGGCATGGCCTGCAGCACAAAGTAAGGGAATTTCATGTGAGAAGAGCCAGACATTCCGTATTCCACATAATGTGGGTTCGAGGTACGAGCTCCGAAAAAGATTCTATTTTAGGAAGTCGGCGTTACTACTTGTCTGGCCTTCAACGGGTTGTCATTAAACGTCCTTAATAAGCTGTACTAGTACCGTGCTAATTGCACTCTCAATAAATCTTGGATCAATTCCTTCGAGACCCAGCCACCCTGCCCCTTGAGCCAAACGTAGATTTCTAGTAGACCTACTTGACAAAACAGTGAAGTTGTTGTCGACTTGTGACCTGTAAAAGATCAGAAAATAGATACAGGAGCAGGATTTAGGATTCAGCAGGTTCCTGTCCTTGATGCTTTGGGTTTGCTGGGCATCACACAGGTGCTGGGTGCTGGTGTGCTGGTACGCTGGTACTCGTGCTCTAAGACTGATTACAAGCTAGTGCTCCCAACTCCCAAGTACTACCGAAGTCCGTAGCTAGTGCTCTTGATCAGCAAGTCACCTCTAAGCCAATATTCTGAAACCACCGAAATAATGCTTGTCAGGGTGTGGGACTCACATGAAATACACGCTGCGTGTACTCGATGTGAGTACGGGTACTGAGTACTGAGTATACTCAGTACCCATACTCACATGACCTCAGAAAATGTGAGTATTACTCAGTACCCGTACTCACATGACTCCGGATTTTGAGTACTTTTTGAGTCTTCGGTGAGTACTTCGGTGAGTACTTCGAAGTGAGTACCAGTGAGTACTCGGTGAGTATTTTGTGAGATTGAAGTGGTGAAAACCTACTTTGACTTACAAGAATGGTGGGAGACAACTGGCAAAACCAACCACCCAATCATCTTTGAAGTTGCTGTGCGCATCTTTGCAATGCCAGATAGCAACGGCTTCCAAGAAAGAGTTTTCAGTTCTTGTACATGGTTTGATGGAAAACTCAGCAATGGACAGAAGGTTGCCATGACATTCCAAATGCGCCTTCTTTGCTACAAGAACAGTGCATTCATCCAGAACTACAAGCAATGCATTAATGATGCAAGAAAGGAATGGGCTAAGAATAGGACCAAGGATCTCCTCAAGCTAACTGCCAGCAGATGTGAAGAGGAGGATTATGACAGTGATATTGATGCCATGGTGGACCTTTACAACAAGATTGATAAGCCCCCAGCCCAGAACTAGAAAAACCTAGATAATTTCCCTAAGTAATTGATTTATGAGTACTCAGTGAGTACTCTATAGTACCCACAAAGTACCTGTACTCACATGATACCCGTACTCACTTGACCCTGGGAATTGTGAGTATTACCCAGTACCCATACTCACTTGACTTTGGAATTGTGAGTACTACTCAGTACCCATACTCACATGCTGAAACAGTGTGAGTACCACGCCCTGATGCTTGTTCTCCGCTCGCTTTGTCGTGTTCAGTCTTTGACTTAATGCGTTTCGGCCCACTATTCTCTTTTCGACAACCAAATTCTAGTTCAATACCCTTTCCATTTGATCTTACAGTCTTTTACTTAAATCATCAAACAATTTTAATGCCAGGAAGGTCATAAATTTAAAACGACAGAGAAGACCATGCTACTCAGTACTCAGTACTCGAGTATACTCTATGTAGAGAGTTAAAGAGGGAGTCGTATCTGGAAGAGCTATTAATACCACACCGGTGGTACCACAATTGAGTTCGTACATGTACATGTATGTATGTATCTATAGGCTAGCTAGTACTCCTACTAGACAGACATTTCGCGCGATCTTTTGTTTTGGGCAGTCACAATTCACACTTGCTTCACAACTTCTGCAAACAGTCGTACTAGCTACTAAGTAGCTAGCTAGTCTAGCTAGTTAGTACCGGGAGCTTTTATCACAACAAAGCTCATTATTTTATTTTTCCTGCACTGAAAGACTAATAACTACTAGTAGACTAACTGCATCAGCAAGCAAGTACTAGCTAGTATGACGTTCTCAAGCTTTCGTAATGGCTTGAGAGAAGAGCAAGCTGTAGTCAAGGATGACTTCTCAATCACTCGATCTCTGATGAGCATGGGCACTACGGACGATGGAACACGCTTCAAAATTGAAGACTCTGGTGATGATAATAACAATGGCGCCAAATCCACTGGCATTGTTCGGGGGGAGCAAAAGGTCATCATGTGGACCAAGGCATTCTTGTTAGGGGCATTTGTGATTGCCATTGTGGTTTTATCTGTGGCTACCTACAAGTATGTGAAAGACCAGGAACAGAAGACATTTGAGAACGAGGTGAGCCTTGGTTGCTGGTTGCTGGTTGCTGGTTGCTGGTTGCTAAAATTTAAAAATGTTGTTACTAACCTGCTTGTTGCTCTCAATCGCTCATCTCAATGTTTGTCAGTTCCGCAATCTGGCTCGAAAGGCGATTGCAGTTTCGGGAAGAAACGTCAAGAGCCAATTTGCGGCGCTGGAGCTCTTTAGCATCTCGATCAGCTCTATGGTGACAGCTTCCAACATGTCCTGGCCAAAAGTGGTAGTTCCTGATTTCTGTGCTCAGGCACAGAGACTGGTAGAGATGACTGGGGCCATGAGGATAACCATGGCTAACATTGTGGAGGAAGAAGACCGCCCGTCCTTTGAGGAGTAC